AGTATCTAGTTCTAAACAACCAAATTTAAACCCCAAGGTGACAATTAAAAGTTTGAACTGTCAAAGCTGTTGAAATCGTGGCACCTATTTACTCTTCTTTCTTTTTTTGCATGATAGCAACTTGTATGAGGACACATTTTATAAAATAAAAGTTAGTTTGTGACATGCATTCATCAGTTTGCATTTGATTTATGTTTTATAAGAGGATGTCATAAGTTCATTAAAATGAAAGCTAATTGAATTCAAACCTGTCCAAAAGTTGAATGTGATTTCTTGATCAATATCATCTTATAATAGCTTAAAGTTGAATAACAAAATCATGAAAATCTCCCCATTCCATATCCAATACCAAAACCTTAACTTTTTTAATTTTCAATTGTTGACACAGTGGAAATGATGATTCATAACAAAACAAAAGAGTAGCTTAGTGATTTGTGGAAGCCCTCCAAGCCATTATTTGTTGGAATAACTCTCTTAAACACTGACCAATTATTTGGTGACCACAGATTATTATATATCCATGTTTCCTGCATGAAAAAAAAGGAATTGAAGCAGTTTGAAATTTTCAATAATTTTAGTGGTCAACTTACAAATATGATACATGAATAATTGACCTGTTGATACATCAAGCCAATCAAGAATCAGTCTGATTGTACAGAGGCCTTTCCCACTCATTTGTAAAAGGGGCAAAAGTCCTGAAATATTATGAGCTTTCATTTGGTGAAATTGTTAAATACTATAGTACAGGTTATCTTCACTCTTGTAAAGAATTTGTATTGATACTGTTGTAGATACAGTGACAGCTTAAGCTAGGCACTGCTATTTTAGATAGTAGTCCCTAAACAGCCACATCAATGTTTAGCCTAGCAAGCTTACAATGGAAGTGTAATTTCGGGATTTCCAGACTATACTGTTTATGGTAATTCCTAACCCCGAGCCCTAAACCTAACCCTATAATAGATTTAAAATTTCTTGTAAAGCAGCCATTTTGTATTTTAGTTTTATGGTAAGGTCGAATTTTGAAAATATTGATGTGTTTAAGGCCTGGTACACAAAATTTTCAAGTTCAAAGGGTCATATTCCAACCCTGCAGCCCTAATAAAAAAAAATCATAACAGAAGGCATATTTTTGTTCAATATTTTTTCTTCAAAGTATCTTTAGAATCCAATGCCTTTAATATGACACTTTTAGTAATAAAATTTCTATTTATGCTTTATATTAGGCTGTCATTTAGAGATATAACTTTATCTACATTCTGTTTCTGAATTGCTTCCTTCTATTTTCCAATTGCAACTCCAATGACACAGCCAATCTTTTAAAAAGGGATATTTTGGAATTGTTTCAAAAACATACACTTGTTTCTCTCTTTTATTAAGTTAGTCCAAGTATCGCTAATCAATTCTAAAAGTCTTGAATATTTAACTGTGTTTATTTTAATTAAGATTTGAAGGAATAGAGATGTTGATACATATTGAATATATTGTTTGAAAATGTTTTCAAAGACAAACTCCGTATTTAAAAAATTCTGTTTAATGACTTTTTGCTATAAAAAGATGGTTTGCATTTTTTATTAACCTTCTAATCATTTTGAACTTTCTTTATGGTGATAGTTAAGAAATTCATTTCCTACAGACTGAAAACATGAATTTATTAGCATATTATTTAACAATTATTTATTGTATATTAACTAAATTAAAAATAAATTTTGTTTGTGTTATAATTCACCAGAGATTCAACTGAAGATTCAACTGAATTCAACTTCTTATCTATTGCATTGTGCTGATTACACTAATAGAGATAATCAGTGTGTACTTATTTTGGCAAAATGTTGGGTGTATTTTGACAAATATATCCATTACAAAAAATTATTCAACCTACCATGGTTTAAAAGCACTATGATAAGTAATAAAAGGATGAGACAGAAAACATCCACAAATGAGTTTACAAATAGATTACATACTTCTGTTTCAATAGTTAATAATTTATTTATTGAAATATTTCTATGGACTGTTAACATTTCAACATTTCATCAACTATCATGTAATATTCAACACAGTTGAGAACTTGTAAAATTTAAAATGTTTATCAAAAGGTGAAGATGGTAAAAAAACAATATAGATAAATATTTGCAAATATTAGATTCAACAATTTCATATTTCATATGTAATAAATATTCTCTTAAACATGAAACACTGTTACATAACTTTAGGACCTAGACAAAATTCATACTGGAAAAAACATCCCTTGGACAGAGTGTCATCTTGACAAAATTTCCCCTGGACAGATTGCCGCTTGAGCTAGAGAAGTGAAATTATTTTTTTATTGTATTAATAATGTTTCTGTCATGTCCACTTTCTAATTTTTCATCAAGTGATGGCTCCTTACTGTCAAATGTGTAAATATATGTGTTTGATAAGCAACTCTTTTGAGGGAAATTACTTGAAATTTGTTTGAATATTGTGCAACATTAATTTGTCATAGAATAAATGGAAAACCAGTTAGTATAACATCTTATGCATCTCTTTACCCTTTGAAATTCAAAGCAATAAAGAAATCAACATATTTACAATTTTTCTTTGTACACTATTAGGCCTATCCAAACCAGTTTAAACCAAGTAGTATGGCTTTTATGTGTGTAGACACTTTGAGGACATGTTTCGACTTGTTGAAGCAGGATAAGCATTTTATTGTTAATCATAATAAGTATCGGCGAACAATCATTGTTACAAAATGAAAAATATAATTTTTTTCGACTTTTTCTCTTTGAATACTTGATAAAAAGAAATGAAAATGTTATCATTCTGTAGAGAATATATATGTCTTTTGTTTTCTATGTCAAAATAGGATTATTTTAATTTGATAGACCAATTATCAATGGGAGCATAAGTAGCTGTTACAATGAGAAAAATTGATTTGAAAACTGTTTAAAATCCCTTTTTTTTAAATAGTTTTTAACCAGTTCAAAGTTTTTCTATCTATGGAGAAAGATGGTGGCATCTATGCTTAATCTGATAATCTTATCATAACTTGGACTTCGAACAGGATTTATTGCAAGGGTTAGTATTTTTGTGGACAAGTTGAAGGTTTTGTTTGAAACAGTCCTTTGGAAAATTTGATGAAATGGCCAGAACGAGCAAGTATAGTTGTAATGAGTCAGAAATTTGCTAGAAATACAATACAAATCTTGTATTACCTTAAATGTCTTCCCCAAAGTTGATGTTTAAATTATCTATATCTGATTTAATATCCACATATCCTCTAATTAATCCTCTACAGAAAGGACATTCAGGCTTTGGAAGATTCAACAAACATTCCTTACAAGCCAATACATGACTACATGGTAAGAGCAATGTATTTGCTAGTTTGCTAAAACAAAGTTTACACTGAAGTTTGGCTTTTAAATCTTGAAATTCATTTAATTGAGTGCTTTGTGAACTGTAGTTCTGTGACATCTCAAAATCAACCTACTATATGAGGTAAATAATTGTCAGTATTTCTTTATATCAAAAAATTTTCGGAAAATTCTGGAAAAATCTGGAAATATCCAGAAATGGTTTAAACCAATTTAAAGATTAATAAACTGTACTATTAATGCTGGGTAGCAAATAGCAATATTCTGTGGATAATTTAATAGAATTTATTGCTGCAAACTGTATATTCATAGCATATGTGAAACTAGGTCAATACTGCTTATCTCTAACAGTGCTGTCTGCACAGTACAATACTGGTTCAATACTATTTAGTATTTACGAATGTATGTATACAGCGAATGTGACAGAAAAAGGCCCCAACAGAAAATGGCACAAGATTTTTCAACCTAAAAAATATAAAAACAAGAAATGATTAAAATTTTTGAAAGTGTACTTATTTATTTGAACAGTTGAATATATTACAAGTTTTTAGTAACAGTACATTAATCAATTCACTTTCTATTAATGATAAATAATTATAGGCCTACAGTGTACTATTTTTGCATATAGCAATGCCGCAAGAATTTTTCAGGTGATCCTAATAGATCATTCTGCTGTTAAGGGTTTCATTTATAGTATTTTTCAATATCACTTCTTTTTAGTAACACAAAACAGCTTCAGAACATAAAAGGAAGTTCATTTTTTCAATTTGAAAACCAGAAGATTTCCAACAATACCTGTTTTCGCTAGGGATCATATATTTTTTTTTTATCAAAAGTATTAATTAAAAAATCTTTTTATTATTACAAAGAGTTGTTTGATAGTTGTCTGTCATTTAGTGAATGTTTTCTTTACAAGATTTATGGTTACTTGTATCACGAAATTAATAATAATTTCGTTACAATTTATTTTTAAACGTTCGTTTGGCTCTCACACTGTACTGTCACATATTTTCCCTTTTATATCTCTCACAGTTACTCTTGTCATTTAAGTGTGCGCTTGATTCTACTCATCTGGCTGTTGACTTTGTCACATTGATATCAAGTCAGACCGACCTTAGGAGTGTGACTTTAGGTCACCTGCCAGATACAACACACAACATTGCTGGTACACAATGTTTTGTTCATTTTCTATTTATTTACAGATGTTCTCTGTCTCTTAAGTTTAACTATCAAAATCAACGTTTTTTGAAGATAAAATTAAATATATATATAAAAATAATAGTTTTTTAATCTTCTTTTTCGCTTTTTACACTGATGTTTTCTGTCTGAACTATTTCAATTTCGTTATCCTTTGACTAATTGAATCAGTTCAGTTCTCCAACCATCAGCTAGTTATTTAAACTTACTTGTTTAGAACTAGAAACTCATTTACTCAATACTTATTCTTTGCACGAAATACTCATCTTTTATTGATTAACTTCTGCTAAAATTACATTTCTTAAGACTATTTGTGAACGAACTTGAAAGGTTCTATGTGATGTGAGTACTTTGGTACTTTGAGTTGATAAATGATTGGAAAGGACAAATCCTGTTCTGAAGAAGCAGAAATTTCTACAATTACAATACAACAAAGTACATTTAGGCCTATGAAATAGATGTCTTTCTTAAGGGGGTTGATAGAAAAAGTCCTCAAATGAGAAATTTCAAGACTAGATTTTGGATTGAGAAATGGTTAGGAAGAAGAAGACAGCAACTTAGGATGGCCTCCTCTAAGGGTTAGGGGTAATGGAAAAAGTTAGGTACAGCTAAGGGCTGGGTTAGGGTTAGGGTGAAAGCACAGATTTGCTGACGTTTTCTGTCATATCCTTTCTAAAGTTCTATTATATCTAAAGCTTAAATATCATTATGTCACTGTTTCTAAGTGCCCACTAAAGTATATTTATAGCTGAACCTTTTTCAGAGTCGATTGATTGAAAAAATTATAGACATACAACTTTGTCAAGCACTCAACTGCCTTTATAGCCACCCCCGTCCCAATACAAATCCCTGACAAAGTGTGTACTTTGTACTAATTTCGGGTTTGTTACAAAAATATTTGTCTTTTGAAATCATTTACCAATTTAGCACAGCACTAAAACAAATAGAACCTTTCAAGTTCATCCACAAATATGCCTAATAATTGTAATTTTGTTAGAAATTAATCAAGGATTCAAGAAAGTATTCTGCCAGCTTTTCCTATCTATAATTTCAAAGAAACACTACATTATTCATGGCTGATAAAATATTAATGAAGTAATATTCAAATTCATCCCAATATTTGAAAATATCACTTTGAACTGTTTTGTAATAATGGAGTGATCATCTGATTCATTAGGATTAAAGTGCTGTCTTGTTCTATTAACAAGTCTACAACAGCTATCAATACATGCAAAATTTTAGTATTGGGAGTAAATGGCCTTCGAAGAAAACAACCTGGGAGAAAATGGCCCACTTATTTTTGGCAAAGTGCCATTCATTGGCATACAATATCCAACTGAAATGCACAGTTATCTTAGATTCAGTGCAATTGCAAATTGAATTAGCAAACTATGTACATATGAAGGAAAATAGAATTCAATCTAGGTTTTCAGGTTATGAAAACCTGCTATGAAAAGTATTTAATTAATCACTATACCTGCAGTTACTTGAACAGGTTACCCTCTTATTAGGGTAGGACATTGTGGTAAAAACTAGTGATTAAGAGACTAAGGTAGTCAACTGCCAGCTGCACTGACCACCATTAATATCAAACCGCAATAGATTGTGAACTGCTTCGCCGATTTAGCTGCAAATTTTAAACTTTGGCTCAATTCATCAAGATCTCACTTTCTACAAAATATAGAATTTTAGATGTTTTTAGTGTTCAACTAACTTATTACTGACCATTATAAGACAAGCAAGGTTACTCACAAAATAAAATTATTAATAATTCTTGATGACAACAATTAAAGAACAGAAATATATTTAACGTTCTTAAATCTACCATTCAAATAATTTATAGGCCTATACAGAATATGTTAACCTCATTAAATATGAAATAAGTTTCCAACTATTTAAGAACTGTTCTTTTTGATTAGTCAGATAAACTTGAGTTGGTTCAGAAATCAAAATGTTTTCATTCTTTGCTGCTGTACTCTTATTGTTGGCTGCTGCTACACCTTTAACATTTCAACAGCATTTTTCTGATGAATGCAATGTTGAAATTAATATGAGGGTGAAAATTGAACCACAAGATATAACTCAAACTGAATGTATATCGAATAAGAAAAAGAGTCTCAATTGCTTCAGTGAATCATATGGATGTTATTTGCCAAAATACGCTATCCCAGGTTTTACATATAAAGAAGGAGTTTTTCCCAATTATCCAATGCATAACATTTATGATCCCAAAGCAAAACATCCTAAGATATGTGCTAAATATTGCTTTGAACATGATGATTGTCAAGGTTTTTCAATATCAAGTACCCCAAAAGGTTCTAGATATTGTTTTTTAAAGAAAAAAGGTTTTGCTGAAGGTAAATATCTTAATGGTCTTGTGTTAAAATCCTTTGATGGATACGCTTATAAAACATCATTGTGTGACAGGGGTATCTGTTCTATAAACATTGGAAGAACACTGTACTTTGCTACTGAGGGTTGTAGTTAAGTACTGGTCCAAATAGAACCAAATTAGGAGTAAGCCACTTAGAAGAGAGATGTAGAATTGAGGGAGCATCAATATAGAACCAAAATGTAAGAATAATATAACTGTATTCTAATGATGTAAACAACAACAACTTTGTGTAGGTAAACCCTCAAGGGTCAATTGTTACATCATATTCATGTAAATAAACACTTGTTGTTGTCAACATGTTTGGTTATGTAACATCTTATCCTTTGCCTATAAAAGGGGTTGATTCTGACAGTTCAGTACCATCTACCTTAGAAGCAACATCTACTTCAACACTTTTACTATATAGTAAGTAGTATTTATAAAATATCTATAAACTATAGTTCATAAGTGTACAAACACTACATAGCTTTACAAAAATTAATGGAAAGAATTAATGACAACATTTCAGAATCAAACCAAGCAAGTGTGCTTTTAATCAGTACAATTTCTTAGTCATAAGATTACACAAAATGGTATTGAAACTCATCCAGAAAAGATTCAGAAAATAAAAGATACTGAATTTCCTATGTTTACAAATACTTTATTAAGTTTTGTTGCATTTTGTGGTTATTACAGAAGATTTGTCAAGGACTTTGCAAAAATTACAAAATCCCTGAGAGAATTATTAAAATTACACCAAAAAACTGAAAAATTGAAATGGACTAAAGAAGCAGAGGAGGCTTATCAGATACTAAAGAAATCAATGACAGAGCCACCCATACTTCAAAAACCTGGCTTTACAAAACCATTTTATTTAACAACAGATGCTTCCAATAATGAATTATTCCAAAAATTCTCACAAATAAAGAAAAAACTTATACAAATTACTAAAAATTTTTGCTAATAATGTTCACAAAATATTTTCATTTTCTTAAATTTTTTTCAATATTATGTCAATTTAACTATTTTCTATATAACTCTAGACAAAAAATACTAATTCGCAGCAAACAAAAAAATTTTAACTGTGAATTAAAAGTTGGCCTGTCAAAATTTACAGTGTCTACATATTGCTGTCATCCACTTTATATAAATATTATAAATCACTCAAAACAAATATTCTGTTCATTGTATTTGGATGGTGTGAAATATAAGAAATATATAATGTACCATCTAATAAATACATCAATAAATAGATACAAATTTTTCCTCTTTTCAACTCTTAACAATCTATGGAAATAAGTAGAGTAGGAAGATGGATCAGCAACATTTTTCAAACGATTAAACTCCAATAAGGAAATCATATGGATTATTCATGTATTACACAGTCAGAGACAAATTTTTAGTGTGGTACTTTTTTATGACAATTTTGCTTATTTTATCCCCTTAAGTTTTATAATCCTTTTTTCACGGGTGCACTTTTAATCAAACTTCTCTTTCATTTAAAAAACTTAATAAACACTGAAAGTCCCAGATTCCAAATTATATAGAAGGGGACAAAAAGAAGTTTTTTCCTCACTTAAACCTTCAAAGTTTTCCTTGAATAGTTTCAAAAATGAAATTTATCTACTAACAAAATACGAGTATGTCATCCAAAGAATATTTATTTATTAAATGATTCTGTACTTCTGAACAAGTAAATGTAAAAAACAATAACCAACAATTAAAGGATTGAACTGTGAACTATTGAAAACAAAAGGTTTATATAATCTTTCAAGACTTGACAGTTCTATGATAAATATATTTGAATAAACAAAAAGTCACATTTAAAAGAAAGAAAAAGTTTCATCATATTTTCCATCTTTGTAATTCTTTGACCATGTCCACCCATGCTTTGGTGAAGGTATAAAAGGAAATGCATTCCAAAGCTAGTCAGTCTCTAATCTTTAAATGTAGACTAAACCTTACTATTAGATTGGAACTCATTTACTATTTACATTTATTTCATTTATTTGCATATTCTATTGGTAAAACTCTGTACTTTCTTTTATACATTATTACTATAAATGATATAACAGTTTTTCATGTTTTGGTGGATGTGAATTATTCTTTACATTCATTTGTAAGAACTTTAAATGTGCACACATGTTTTTGCAAGTTACAACAGTACTGGTTATACTTGAACATTTAAACAAATTTTTAAATTGAATGCTTGATTAAAAATAAAAATACTTAAGCAATAACATTATGAGAGTTCAATAGCAGAGGAGATAGTTTGTAATAATAGGTGGCCAAATTACCAAACTGCCTTCCAATGTTGAGAGGTAGAAGGCTGGCTCCAGTGAAAGTAGTTTCAAACCTCTGGCCATTTTCTATCATAGTCATTCCATGTGATCTTCTCAGGTGCTTGGATCCAGATACAAATGAATAGATTGAAAATAGTGAGAATTTATATATGCTGCAGTTTGCCTCTGATATCCAATCACTACTTTACATTTGCCAGACTATCTAGCTTATATTTATCTTTAGTAATACAATGTTACAAGGTTCAACATTTAGATAGATTTATTGAATTAAAACTTGGCCAAACCTTAACTGGTAATTAAAAATTAATCTTCAAGCTGACAAATCAAGACCTGTGTTTGGCCAATGTTATAACATTTTTGTGTACCTCACTCACAATGCTACTGTTAAACATTAATATTAAAATGTATTGAGTTAAGTCTAAGGTTTTCTAAAAATATTTCATATTAAACTCAACCGCACAAAGATCAGGTTAGACCAAGTCTTTTTACAATTTATTGCGTAGATTTTGAAAGATAAATATATAGGTAGCATCAATAAATATACCTAAATATAAAATATAAGAACCAAATTTCTAGATTAGATAAAAGACTATATTATTAAAAGAATATTATTAAAATTAGTTAACTATTATAATTAAAAATACAAAATGTATAGTCTATTTTCTTTTTTATACCAGTTTTACTCTGCAGTTAATCTACATCCTGTTTTTGCTCATTTTTTTCCAAAAAGTAATTGAAAGGAAGCTTACAACTTAATTATTGTGAGTATAAACTTTCTCTATTTATAACATGTACAGCTATTATAACTCTTCTATTTTCATATTTACTCAATTTTTTTAGTACAAAAGAAAAAATATGTCTTTTTGGGTGAGATTTTGGGTTGGCAAAAGTATTTGAGCAATTAGTTTGCAAATAGGTGGGTCCAAACTAAGGGTTACAAATAATAAAGCTCTAAAAACAGGGTCCAGGGCTGGATTAGGGTAAAACCAAAAATCTGTGGGTATTTTCAACATCATCCCAAAAAATGTAGCATTGATTATCCAAGTGTTCTTTAATATAACATAAGAAATCAGAAAATTTTTCATTGTACTTAAATGAACTTTTATTTTGTTAAATTAATTGGGAATGATATCAACAGGCAAAAATGGCAAACTCATTAGAAGCTTCATTTCAGTCCACTGTCCAGTATATTTTTTGTAATCAGATGAATATCCCAATTCCTACAAAATTTTATATATAATTATGGCAAAGACAATAAAACATTTTAATTAATACATGAATTTATCAAAAAATTGCTTGAGTCAAATGAAACAGAAAAAGTTTGACATTATTTTCTGGAAATATATTGCCACACTTTCCAATCAACTTGCAGCCCTTTATAACTGCAGCCTTTTCTAGTTGTAGCCTTTATTAATTTGTAGAAATATTCATAATCAAATATATATTAACATATTTTTACATTATCTCTCAGTGTGGATATCTTTCACCTGGACTTTATGCTTTATCCTCAAGATGACAGTAAAATCAGAGATTATCACCCACAAGGAAGATATACTTCTGTATATAAAAAATGATCCTCTTTTTATGTCTTTTCTTGTAGAAGAAAAAATAATTGACAGTGAATACACATTGGATAATTTGGAAATATTTTTTGATCAACATCTTTCTACTTTAGAGACTGAAGATTTTATAAATTTTTTGAGAAAACATGAAAGTTGGACAGAGCACAAACAGAAACTTTTAAACAGGATTCAAAATACATGGAATGAATTTAAAATTGCCATAAAGGAGCAAGTGAAAAGAAAATTTCAAACAATTCCCCAATTTCCATTTTTAAATAATAACAAAAAGAGAGTAAATTTGAAGGATATTACAATCCCCATTAACTTTATAATGCTAAAAGGGTCAGAGTGTTGTACATATGATGGTATTCAGTTTAATAAAATAATTGAAAATGGTAATGATAGAATTCTAATACAAGGTGATTCTGGAATAGGAAAAACTCATCATTTTATGCAAATTTTGTATTCATGGGCAATTGAAAATACTATTCTACAAGAATATGTAGTTTTATATGCAAGGCTAAATGAGATAAATGATGACTTAGATTTCAATGAACAATTATTCACCCAAAATATTACAGATGAAACAGAGATATCAAGGGAACTTTTTGATTATTACTTAGCTGACAAACAAAGAAAATTTATATTACTTTTTGATGGAGCAGACGAACTTAAATCAAACAAAACAAGGTTCAGTGAAATCATATCCAGCAAAGGTGTAACCAGTTTCCCAGTTGTAGTTTGGTCAAGAAAATCAAAATCTTTTGAAATTAAAGATACTTATGACTTTATTTTTGAAATAGCTCAGTTTGATGAAATCAGTCTAAAAAACTTTTTTAAACATTTCTTTGGTGAGCAAATTGGGATAACAAAGCAACCCAAAGAAGAGAGTTTAAAGTCTGAGAAAATTATGAGCTTTTTAAATGATAAAGACTACCTTCTGGAAGCTTGCAAAATTCCTCTCATTGCTTTGCTAACAGCTTCTATTTGGAATGATAAAACTTCTGAAATGAAAGTTGTAAGATATACAGATATATATCAAGAGTTTATTGAACTCATCTCTAAAAGAGCATCAGATAGTAGAGAATTTTTGAAATTCTGTTCAACACTAGCTTTTAAAAATCACTTAAAAAATTCACAAATTACAAAAACAAATATTGTTGAAAGATATAATTACTTTAATGGAATTTTAACTCCATATAAAGTAAACACAGATGGAAAGGAATTTTTGAAATTTATACATTCTTCATTTCAAGACTATTTTACAGCATATTATATTCTTCAAGAGTATAAATCTGATATTGAAAATCAAAGACGAAAAATTGATAAAGCATTGCAGACATCAAAATATATCATTTTTATGCAGAATGTATTCAATTTTCTACAAGATTTGGATGGTGAAATTTTCTCCAGGATAATGAAAAGTAACTCAAATATAATTGATAAATTCAATCTTGATAAGCAAGTAATTGAACTACTTCAAAGATACAATCCTAAAAATTCATTTGAATTCTACTTGAAAGGTATTCATTTGAGTATATCACTTTTAAATTTGATAATAGAATATACATTAAAAAACATTACTATGATTGATTTTACATTTGTGAAAATAACATTTGATGAGTTTTTTGATACAATCAAGAATACTTTAAATGAAAGTCTGGAGAGTTTAATATTAAGAGGAGGGGTAAGAAAATCAATTGATGTTGAATATTTTCAATATATTTTGGAAAATTTTTGTAAGCTGAAACACTTATCTCTCTCTGATATTCTTTTTAAGGAAAAGAAGCTAATAAAAATTTCCTTTAAATCATCTTCTCTAAATTCTTTAGCCCTCAATAATTGCAATGTCTTTTCATTAGATGTTTTCCAATACTTTGAATGTATCAATTTGACCAAAGTTAAATTCTCAAAATGTAAAATTCTAGGTAAATATTTATAAAATATTTTTATAGACTTATAAAATCAGATTTTATTTAACAGAAGAGAACATTAGAATGCTGTTAAATTGTCTACAATCAAACAAAACTGAAAGCTTAAATCTATGTGAATGTGATGAACTGGATTTTCAATATCAAATGATAAATATTTTTAAAAATTTTAAAGAATTGACTGAACTAAGCCTCTGTCACACAAAATTTAATAAAGAATCTGGAGTGGAGCTCATATTAATAATTGGTAGTCATCTGAATAATTTGGAAATATTAAAGCTTAATAATTGTAATTTGGAA